ATTTGTATAGTTTCGAAATTTTGCACTTACTCTAGTGTTTGAATGTGTTGGTTTACTTTTCATGTCCTTTTTCTTTTTTCTGAACTTGCTATATATCGGATGCTGCCTTTGTACAAATTTTTTAAGTTTTAATTGGCTCGCTTACTGTGAATATAGACTTGACTTGTAAAAATCTTGCTTTTGGTAGAAGTTAAAACTAAATGGTGTTGCTTTTTGGTTTCAAAGAGAAATGTATTCTCTCTCTCTCTCTGATAAGTTGTTTCTTGGCAGTGGAGTGAAATTTTCGGCCGAGGAGGAAAGAACGGTTATAGAGCTACAAGCAGAGTTCGGGAACAAATGGGCAAGAATCGCGACCTATCTGCCCGGGAGAACAGACAACGACGTCAAAAACTTTTGGAGCAGCCGGCAAAAAAGATTGGCTAGAATGCTCCACACAGCACCTAATTGTGCTCCCCCACAACAGCCGTCCACATCATCCACCAAACCGCGCAATAAGAACACGTCCGTTCAACTTCACCCCCAAATTTCCTATCTCGATATTCCCTCTCTAGAGGTAAGCAAGATCGATCATTCGTTCAAGATCGATTTCAAGAATTTTCAAATGACAAAACAATAATAATATGATTTAGCTTCAATGTTTCTTGCCTGCAATTTTTTTTTTTTCAGGCACCCAAGTTCAGCTCATCACCCGATGAACAATCGATAGCAGCAAAGCCCCAATCTTGCCCATCTTCCAGCATCGACGATCCTAAGAGGGTAAAAATGGCGCCTTTTGCTTACCCGGGCCCACTCATTTATGAGCCCGGCCCATTTCAACTCGACTATGGCCCACCAGACATGAAGCCCACAACAAACCCAGACCAGCCACAATCAGATGAGCTTGTATTCCCACAAGTCCCACAGCTTCAGCCAGATTTCCCTATGCCACTCGAGAGCCAAGAGGACATAGTTACCAGGCTTGGAGAACCTAATTTTCTGGACGAATTTGAGAACTCGGGCGGGCCTGCATTGGGCCCGGACATCAGCTGTTTGATCGATGGTTTCCCACCAATCGACATATTTGATCACATACCGAGCCCTTCAGATTGGTCGTGAGAGGTGGTCGAATTTCGCGCATTCGTTTTTAGGGTTTTTTAGGTTTGACTCTTTTCGGTTGCTTTTTTATTGTACGACTATTCAAGTAGATTCGAATCGATTGTAGAAGGGTACGTTTCGTGTTGCGTTTGAATGAATTCTACTTGCTGTTTTAATCATTAATCTACCTTAACAAAGGATATTCAGTTGGTAAATTTGAATCTCAATTAGTAATGCAGTTTTTTGTCATAGGCTAGAATCCAGAGGTATTTTTGAGATAAATGGGATCATAAGAGATTAAAGAGCACAAAAGATTTAAGATACAATGGCACACAGAAACCAGTGGCAAGGATGCTTCATCCTGAAATTGGAAAAAACATCCAATTTTGCAAGTATAATGATTTTTATTTATTTATTTATTTATTTTTTATTTTTTTTGGCTTTCCCAGAACAGTAAGAAAATGCAACATTTGGCGCTTTCGAGATCTAATGCTTGGTACAAATCTTCGAAAGGCTTTCACACACAAATGAAGTTTCTAATCCTAACATATTTATTAAGCTATTATTATTATTATTGCGCGGTTCATGCTTCAAGAAGACAGATAAATGAGCACAAATGTTGGTTCTCGGTTTAAACGGAGCTTTGAGCAGCTTCTTCAGGTACTCTAATCAATGAAATACCAGACAGACCTTTGGGAGACCCCAAGACAGTAAACGAATGATTTTCACCCAGAGCCATGGATCTACGCAAGACTGAATACGCACAATAATCGGCTTCACATACCATAAAATCTGGCAAGCAACCAGAAACAGCAGATCCAACTCCTTCCCCTGAAAGCAAATGTGAGCATAAATGACACAATGCTAGCCAAAAAGAACTTTCTAAAAACCCAAGTGAAATTCGCGCGCTTTAGCGAGAGCCTAAAAAAAATCTAAAAATTACCATGTGTTACTAGCAGCAAATTCTCTGAAGGATATTTGTTAGCAAGAGTCTTGATGACTTCAAGATATCTAGCCCTGGCACCTTCTACTGTCTCCTGCCATCGAGGAAGCTACATGCACATGCAAAAAAAAACACCTTTTAGCATATACAAGAAATTAACTTTTCAAGATTACATTATAGTTACCAGCAAAATTCAAAAGGTTTCAGCATGCGAGAAAGATTGGTGAAATCACCTCCTTGTAAACCATTTCAGTGGTTTTATCAATTGTTCCGGCAGGTAAAACAGCTTCGCAGTCTGAGATGGAAAAGGTAAAAATCCCATCTTTTGGAGACACGGAATCTCGGATAGCCACTGAGTTCATCATCTCAGACAACCCGCATTCGATTGAGACCTGGAGATATGCAAAACAGTTTTAAGAATGGACCAAGATTCATTTCTAAACAATATTTTAATCTAGAATTGCAAATTCATAAGTCAAACATATCATCAGGTAGCGTAATCATCTATATAGATTTAGCACGGAAACATTATCATCATTGGATAAGAAAATTGGAGTTCGACAACCTTGTCTAAATTTGTATGTTGTTGTCTATGTTGGACAACAGTTCATCAAATTCGCAGTATACCAATGAATATCAAATGCATTGGCTATTGTTTATATTCACAACACAAAGCAGAGGCACTGTAGAGTGCTAACAATGATTGAGTTTGTACTAAACAAAATATATCAGTCATGCTGAACACTGTTATTACAATTTACAACAAACACTGTATACATTTGATTTCTAATGTGATTAATACACTGTATACATTTGATTTCTCATGTGATTAATATATTGAGGAAATATTATAAGGAAAGCAAAGCAATTCTTGTTAGGAAACAGATATGCATGTATATGTTAACTCAAAACATGCCTCACCAAATGACAATTTCCAAGAGACAAACATCAGTCATACATTAGTGACTTGAAAAGACCTCAAATGAAATGCTTTTTACACTTATCCACTCATTCAACCATTACAACATAAACACAACCAAAAGCGGATTATCACCCAAACCTTCGACATTACTCACAGAAAAAAAAAAAGCCTAAATATCTCGTTTTACACAATCAATAGATGCGGCGCATTTAGGGATCAAATCAAAACTCACCTTCACCTTGGACGGATCAATAACGACGCCGTTCGAGGTCACATCGTTCGGATCGTCGGAATTGTTTGCGACGGCGCAGAGGGCCGTGACGACCTCGGCGGCGGTCTGGAGGCAGCGCAGGAAGGGGGAGACGAATACGCGGTGGATCGGGAAACCCAGCTGCCTCCGGAACCTCTCGCCGGTTCCGAACGCTCGGATTTTGCCGTCGTCAACTAGGGGCGGGTCCCAGGGGCGCGGCGCCGACGCCGCCCAGAGGGGGACGAAGTTGTCCAGCCTATCTCCGTGGCGCATTACGACGACGTGCTGCTGGTGGGATTGCGACGGGCAATCGCCGTCAGAGGAGCCCATGATTGCGATTTGGGAGCTTTTTGGGGGATCGTTTGATTTGGTGAAGGAGCTAAAAGGTGTGCGTGTTTTTTCT